GAACGGGATCATGCTGGGCAAGGAGACTTCATCTACCACCAAAGGATCGTTTCCGTGATCAAACTGGCAGAGATCACCCAGGACACAATAGCCTCGCTCTGCAAAACACGACGTTTCAACTCAGGTTAGAAAACACACGCTGTAGTTCTCAGTCATTTGTAACATTTCAGGTTTTCATGGAATTTCTTGCTAAAGAAAACATGCATCCACTGATACATTATTATATTGTAAGTTAAAGTTTACCTAAATAATTGAAATTAGAACAATCTTTCATAAAAGCATACAAACTTACATGCATTCATCATGAAAGCTGTGGAAAAAAAGTCAGAAGTACTGTGGTTTATTTTAAACATACACACACTGCAATCTGCACCAGGACTGCCAGTGGTTGAGGTATTTGTCTAGCACATAGAGAACTGTGAAACAACTCCATATGTTCCTATCCAGCAACTGCCACAGCATAGGCAAACTGCTTGTGGTAAGATTAGTTATTTCTCCAGTACAACAAAGGGCATCTCTGCATCTGTTACATACAAGGTACACATCACATGCTGCTGCAGTGTGACTTGCTGCTCACATTCAGTGAATACCTAAAAAAAAAAGTCACAAACATTGAAATAAGGCATGAAACTGCCTTACCATCATAGTCTTGACATCTTCTTTTAGGAGGAGGGTTTCTGCCAAACGAACTGGGATTGCTGTGATTGTTGAAGTAATTTGACCAGCTCTCTGTGGTGCCTTCAAGGTGGTGTGCAGGTGCAACTACAGTCACAGCACTGGGAATAGCTTGTGCAGAGGAATACTGTTCAGAGGATTTACTGGGAGTCGCAGACACTGGATTATATGAGCTTTCAACATCATTTTTTTCACTCTTGTATTTTGATCTCTCTCTCTCTCGGTGCTCTGTTTAAAAAAAATAAAGCTGAGTAAAGCCTTCATGTTTTGCTCTGTACATCAGAGCCATGAGCAAGAGACAGTAACACCTTCTCTGAAATACTCAGCACTCTGCACATTGAACTGTTCTAGAAGGAGCTTGGTCTTACCAATGGAGTAATAACTAAATATAATGTAAACAGGGGTTTAACTTCAGAAATATCCAAGTTTTCTTTGCAAAATGCACATTCATTCCTCTACTACTTATTTCACTCTGACTTACAGCTCTCTTTTAAAGGAGAAAGAAGGGCAAAAGCCTGAAACAACAAACCTACCTCTGCCCTTAACTAACGCGGTCTCAAGGTGCGTGGAATGCTGTAATCTGTGCCACTTACTTTTCCGACAGACCTGAACTAGCCCTAAAAGAACAATCATATGGTAACCACCTGCAACTGCAAAGAAGCCTTCTCTAAAAAATACACAGTAACAAAACGAAAGAGGGAAACACTGCTTTGCAAAAAGTTCAGTCCTTAAGAGGAACAAAGAAAAAAACCAACAGCTTTGTCAGAACACACAGCACAAAAATATGAGCTACTGCTATCTACAGGAATACACCTGTGGATAAATTAAGAGGTTAGCAAAGAAGAAAACAAACCCCTTAATTGTTCCACTCTGAAGAACAGCATCTTAATTAATAATTTCAAGAACACAAAGCTATCAGAATTTCCTCCAACTCCTCAAGGGCATCTCCTGCCTGCTAGCTCATGCAGAATGCACAAGTCCCAGCTGTCACTGGGTACCCACCGCTCCTGCTGCCATCGCGGTCCTTGCTGCGGCCCCTGCTGCGGCTGCGGCTCCGACTCAGCCCTCTGCTTTTGCTGCGGCTCTTGCTCCTGCCCCGGCGCCAGCCAGACTTCTCCCTGTACAAGTCACTCCTATCATAGTACCTGTCATAGTCCCTCCACTTCCCATCATCCCGCTTTTTCTCTCTGGTTCTAGGAAAAACAGATGCAGACCAGGTCAGTGAAAAGAGAAACAAAATTAAAAAAGGAGCTTGCAACATGGAGAGATACTGTTCACCCTTCGCATCCATTTGGGCAGCGAAGCACTCCAGTCAGAATGTCACAAATTACACAGAGAACTACTGAATCTTAAAGCTGATTCACTGGTCTGTAGAAAGCAGGGGTAGGAACTGGCAAGGTGAGTCAGTTACGATGCTCAAACCAGAACAGGCTTTAGAAGTGACACGGTGTGAACAACTGCCCCCAGAAACTACAGACCCCCAAAAATGTTCTTTATTTACATAACAAGGAAACAATGGAGCTGATGACATTCCTAGGAATTGTAATTTGAAGAATATTTGGCCTCTTGTGCAAGAGGCCAACTTCTTGTGGAGACTTCTCATGCACGTGATCAGCATATGCACGATGTGTCACAGTCAAAGGAAGGAGAAAATCCCTATTTTCCACAAAAATCACTACCTACAAGGTAAAAAAACACAGTCAAAGACTGACAGCAAATACAGAAAAATTTCTTAACATTGTGGCTCAAAGCTAACCTTTGCTCACTGGAATCTGCACGGCTCCTCTGGGGACTGGAATACTTCTTCTTCCTGCTCTCCCGCTCTTCTTCAACAGACTCTTGAAAATTCTGTTTAACACACAACTACCAAACAAGGACGAGTATCACTTTTTTAAATTAGGGAAATTACACCAAAATGTAGTTCAAGTTACAGACAGCAACGCAAAGGAAACAATACTCAAGTATTACTTGCCCAGAGTACTGAAGCACTACAAGTAATCAAGCACTAGAGTCTGTTGAAGAGTTTTGGTCTCAAAACTTGCTTTTTTTTTCTGCAGAAGAGATGCCCCTAAATAAAACCACTTTGATGTTTTGTTTCTAAACAGGATTCATGAAGGACAAGATCTCTCTCCACTCTACTTCCTTATTTAGCATAAGCAATTCTACAAGTGAGGTATTTCCTGAAGCTTTAAACACAAAGTCTGCAATCACCTCTCCAGGTAGAGAAGTCACTAGCTGACATTTTAAATAACTGCTTCAAGGCAAAAACCTGCTCCCATGGTGGAACTGGTCACATTTCTTGCTGGCCTCCACTACAGCGGGTTCAGAAGTCTGCCAGCTGTACCACCACCTATTCAGCATTTCTGCTGCCATTTCACACTGCTTACAAGTTACTGTAAATTTTGGTGGAAAAACCTTACATGCACTAATTTTTAAAATAATTTTCTTACCAATTGAAACCAAAAGGAAGGCTATCTGCATCCTTCCAAAACAGGATTATCTGGGGAGAACTGGCAGAAATACTCAAGACTTGGCTTGACGGGGCTCTGGAGAGCTCCACCTGCAGTCCTGCTCCCAGCACAAGGTGTATCACACAGCACCTGGGGTCCCCTCCAGCCCTGACCTCACTGAGATTCCATGTGTGGTTCACTTTGTGGCCTCTGTGTGCAGGAACCACACCATACACTGAGCTTCATAACACATCACAAAGGCCTTGCTCGTGTCAAAGTAACTAATTAATGTTCTGAATTCTGTAACGTTGTCCCATAAAGCTGTCCTAGATACCTTCTTTTGCTTATTGCCACTCCCCTCCAGCCCCTCAAATCTCCTCCTCTGCCCCCACCAGAGCGCTGGTAAAGTCAACTGAAGGAAGTTCTATGGGACTTTCTAGAAACTATGGCAGTACTTTGAGAACAGAGGGGAAAGTTCTTACAGTGAAAATCTTGTTCAAATTATGAACTGCCATAAGCAAAGCTACTTCCGTAAGCTGTCACAACTCTGCATCACATCCTTGGGTAAAAAAGGACATCAGAGAAAAGGAAAAAAAAGTATAAAGCAACTTTAATCTAAATCAGTTGATGAACCACAGTCAGGACCTGCATTTGTATAGGCTGACCTGTGTTTCGCTGACTAACAATTTCTGCAATTATTTCTCACTTTCTCTGAAAAATTTGATTGCTTTCAATTTTGCCAACAGAACTTAAAATCAAGGTAAAACTCTTCGCAAACCAATCCTACCTGACTTTCCAAAGTAATTATTACAATACAGAGGCTGACATCTTTCAGTGATTTTAAGCATCACAGAAAACATTTTAAGTAATTTTCATTCCTCACAGAATATATAAAATTGGAAATGTTTTGGAATGTTTTTGTAGCTTCCCCCTCTCAAACCTTTCCAAGTAATCATCCACTGGTATTACCAGAGCTGTGAACAGGATTTCTGAGTGCTTAATCAAAGGTAGACTCTACAAAGGGATATAAAATGTTCTTGTTTGAATAGTCATCTTCCACAGTTCTTTGGGCACAGAGATCATTATTCACAATAGAGTACATTTTTCTGTCACATTTTGCCTCACAAATGTAGGACAGCTATTTGAAAATAAAAGGCATGCAGAATAAATAACATTACCTCCTCCTTGACTTCTTCTTTCTCTTGCCCTGCAGGCTTTGCCTCTGCCTTTGTGGGCTCAGCAGAAGGAAGGTAACTTTTGGTGTACAAACTTTCAAAGAGTTTATCTACAAACCCTGAAGTTTCTGAGGATAAAGAACACAAGAAAATACTGTTACATATGCATTTAAGTGCCTGCTTCATTTACCAGAAAAGACTCTGAAAACAGCCAGCCAGGTGGGCTGCCTGCAGCAGCAGCACCTCAGACTAATGAGCATTAGCTCCACTGAAGGAGCTGGAAATACATTTGTGGCACTTGAGGCTGCTCATTTAGAGAGAGAAATTCCTCAGTTATATCACAGACAGCAACGGAGACTCTCCTGTTCTAAGGGGCAAGCATGATTGGTGCCTGTGATCAAGGAGCAAGTCCACAGCTATCCACAGGTTCCATCAGCTACACTCAGCAGCAGTTCAACATCACAATAAATGCACAATAACCTTCCCAGTGAGTGTCAGACTTTCAGGTGTTTAAATCCCTGATATGAAGCAAATTGCCACATGTGAAGGTCCTAGCAGTCTGGAGGACTAACATGGACCGGGTTTTCAAAAGTTATCAAACACCTGTCAGAGAAACTTCTGGCAACATGACTGACACCTTAAATTAAATTGCTTTTATTTAAGAACATTTCTTCCTACCCACTGTTAAAAGTCCAAGCTGCATTACTTAATCTTATGATTATTATTTTTTTAATCACACAATTCCTTCAAATTCTGTATGGAATATTTATGGCTACCAAGAAAGATTTTGAAGGCAGCAGTGGTGCCTCCCTCCCTCCTGCCACCCAGAGCCCAGGCCCCCAGCCAGCCGTGGCCACCACACCTTTCTGCAGGAACACGTCCAGCTGGTCAGCACAGAAAGCTTTCAGCTCCTTCTCGGGCTTGTCCTTCTTGACTAATGCCACGACATAGTTGGCCAAGGCTGAGGGGTCAGCATCACATCTAGTGAGAGAGAGAACTGCGCTTGGCAGCTGCACCATGGGGGCACGGGCACTGCAGAGCCACCACCCCTGGCCTGCCAGGCTCACATGCAGCACCAGCACAGCTGCACTGGGGCCATGCAGCCTGCAAAGGGCTCTTTGCAACCACAGCCCAGTATTTCAGTGCCTTGTGAACCCCCCAACCACACCTGGCCAAGGCCCCCCTTCTCTGCTCCTTCTGAGCTCTCCTTTGCCCAGACAGACGCACTGCTGCTGAACCTCCTCCTGGCCCACCAAGCACACCTCCACAGGCACAGCACAGCACGGGCCAGGGCAGGCACTGCACCACGACTGATTAAACTGCGTTTAAAAATTAAAACATTGCCATAAAGGAGTTCAGGGGATGTCACAGAGGTCCATTCTCAATACACACACAGACACGTTCTGCACAGCTTCAGTGACTGTCCTGCTGTGCTGGGGTTTCCTCCTCGAGGACACCTCCATGCCATATTTCACAGTAACCCTTTAATGCTGGTACAACACCTACAGGGCAGCAATTACTGACCCAGGTTCTCTCCTCATGCTCCCTCACCTGCATCTGGTCCACAAAGACCAAAGTTCCCAACTGCGTGCAGGGATACTTCACCACTGATCTTTAAACTGGATATTGCTTTAGATCCCATTATTCAACTACTAGGAGCACCTCAGGTATGAAACAGAGTAAGAGTGTGACTAAATTACAGCTCCTTGTTTGGCCTCTCAGAGTGTGCAGATGCCAGATATCAGGTGGGGGCAGAAACCTAAAACACTCAAAAGACTTTTTTTTTGTTTTAATGAACATTTAAAGAGGTGATTGTATATTTTCTGAGAACAGTAACTCTGGAAATAGAAGGAAAAATTCTGAAGTATATATACCACAAATAATCTCAAGTAAGAAAAAGATCCAGAAAACGAGCAAAAGGCAAAAAGCCAAGCAGAGGGCAACAGGTGGAAGAAATAAAAATCCTCAATGAGCAGCAATCAAGTAGCTCTGCTCTCACATAGCCTCCAACAACATCCAACCTCCACTGAAAGCCAGGGTAAATGGAGCAATTAAGAACAAAGAAACCACAAATTGACAGATTTTACAATTCCTACACACACAGAGAAATAACCTGTATGTGATGTACTGGGGCCCTCACCCAATGACTATAAATGTTCAATTCAAATAGAGGAAGCTATCTCCCACTTCACAACCATTACCTTTCCTTCCTCCATATGTCAGACCCTCCCAAGCACCCCATCCCATCATGCAGTACAGGAGCACACAAGGTCAGTGCCCTCCTCCAGGCAAGCCAGTCTGTACTGTCACTCTAGTGCCACTACAGAGTCTGTGACTGTCAGGGCCCACTGGCCAATTCCTTGATTTCCTGCCTCCCACTGCACAGAGCAGCTCAAATGCCCAAGGAACGCTGAACACTGACTGGAGTTGGCAGGGAAGGTGCAGGAGCAGGAGTCGTGCTCCAGCCTAGAGACTTTCAGCAGGGTTTGACCAAACACCAGAGAAACCCATTGTAACAAGGGAAAAAGAAAGTTGTGAAGGACTTCCAAAAGCCCAATACTTAATGATGGCAAGTGAGCAGACCTAAGGCCTATTTAAAACTCTTCCCACAGGCCTCGGTCGTACATCATGGGAGTCCCAAGGCTGGCCAGGCACGGACAAGCAGCTTCCCCCGGTGAGACCCACTGGCCCCTCGCTGTGCCTGCACCACCAGCACCAGCTGTGCTCAGGCACTGCAGAGCTCGGGGCCAGCACAATCCAACCCCTCTGCAGCCAGTTATCAGAGACCACACAATGCACGACACGACCTGGATCCATGGTGACTCCATCCCAGTCCCACTCCCAGTGCAAGCAGCAGCAGGATGCAAATTCAGAGTTCCCACAGTTTCAGCGTTATTCCTGGTTTTGTCAGCTCCTGCAGCAGCCCCTGGCTCTGCTCCGAGATGACACAGCTGGGACTAAAATCGACAGCACAGCCGGGGCAGTATTTGGGAGCACACAGAATCACAGATTGGAAAAGCGCTCTCAGACCACCAAATTCAATCTATCCCCGCCTCGTCGCCAGCCCAGAGCGCTGAGTGCCACGGCCAGTCCTTCCTTGGACACCTCCAGGGATGGGCACTCCCAGCACAGGAGCCCCCTTTCCCTGGGGAGATTCCTGCTGTGCCCACCCTGAGCCTGCCCTGGCCCAGCCCCCTGCTCCTGTCCCTGTTCCCTGGAGCACAGCCCGATCCCCCTGGCTGTCCCCATCCTGTCAGGAGCTGTGCAGAGCCACAAGGGCCCCCTGAGCCTCCTTTGCTCCAGGCTGAGCCCCTTTCCCA